ATCTTCCTCATTTTCATCACTGCTATCTCCTCCACTGGCTTGCTGTGGATTTACAACATCTGCACCAATTTGGAGTCAGTATAATGATGCAAAATTGGATCAGTTATAATGCTTCAGTCAGTATCATTATGAAATTATGAAATTATGCTAGCAAAAAGTTTGTAACCAGATTACTGATGTAACTGGATACTAAGTGTCCGTCCCCCCCCCCCCCCCCCCCCCCCCCCAAAAGATATGTGTAATTCTCCCTCCGTATGATCTACCCCCCGATCCTCTTTCCTGTATATAAAATTACTCTCATTGGATAACAAGGTCTATAAATGTGTATTAATAAAATATCGGAGTCCCTCGCCGGAAATTTTCCTTTAGCAAAGTGGTAGAAGAATAACACATCATGCTCTGTATCTACAAATCAGTGTTAGTAATTTCAAATATACATTATACTATTTTTACCCGAGTGTTGGGGTGCGAGGTCCCCCCCCCCCCCCCCCCCCCCTGCCGATGCTTTGCTGTTAAACAAAGCTCTAGTTCTTCACACTAAAAACTATCTTTATATGGATTGAAATACTGATTACTCCTTCGCATTCCTCAGGAAAACCCCCTCCCCCCCCCCCCCGTATGACCTTTATGGGGCCCGCCCCACCCCCGTGCTTCCCCATCAATTTATATTTTACGCTAACGTGAATTTAGTTATTTTTGGTATGTCTAATATTCAAAGCAATTTTCTTTACAAGTTCAGCACTGTACATTAAAACTGTGTGTGTGCCTTTCCTATGCTGAAAAACAAAAGTGCAGGTTACATTACTTGTAGCAAGTTAAAACTAGTCTTTAACAGTTTGATGGAAAATGAAGTAGCACCACATGCAACAACCTGACTCAGCTTGGAGGGTTGTTTTGTAATTCTAAATTGCCTTGCACGTCATCAGCTCAGTGTGATAATCAATAATGGATACCTCTACAAAGTCCAGTGAGAGATTTCGTCGATAACCACACGTGTTCATCCCGCTCAAAAACCCTATGAAGAAAAATTATTGGCAATTACTTTACTACATTCATGGTGTGGTGCTAGATGCAAAGGGGTCATACAGTATGCCTGAGGAAATGTTATAGTTATGGTCAAGACTGCATTAATGAGGACATTTAATCAACATGTTATAGAAATACAGGGTTGTGAACATCACACCTCTCAATTAGGGGTGGCCTTGATACTAGGAAAGAGCTACTTATCCGCTTCTGATTATTATCTCTCATTCCCCAGAGATGCTGTATGACTGACATCTATTAGTTTAGCACTCATTCCATGATTATATTGTTAATTTAAGATTTTTTAATGAAAATAAGAAAAAAATTTTGGCCAGTGAGTTAAACACAAGTTTAAGAAGCCTAGGGTGAAATGTATGGATTGTCAGTTAAAAAAACAAGTTAGGGGAGTCGAGTAGCTGGGGAGGGACGGTATTAGGCTAGATGGCAGAGAATATTTGAGGAACTTTTAAATGTTAGGAAAGAAAGGGTGAGCGCGGTAACTTATGCACTGGCCAGGGAGGTATACCATCTTTTAGGAGTGAAGAAGAGCAGAATGTAAGTGTGGTGGAGGTAAGCTGAGGCATTACGTAGAATGAAAGGGGGTGGTTATAAGCAGCTGGAACTGATGGGATATGACAGGGAATGTTAAAAAGCAGGGGGGGATGGGCGAATATAGTGTTGGAGTGGTTGGTACTTTAGTTAATTAATGTATGAAAGAGGGGGAAAGCACCTAGGGATTGGCAGAGAGCATGTATAGTCCCTTTATATAAAGGGGAAAGGGGACAAATAGATTGTAAAAAAATTATAGAGGAATTATGTTTACTGAGTTATACCAGGAAAAAGTATACGGTAGGTTATAGAATTGAAAGATTAGAGGTAAGACAGCATGTTAGGATTGCGGACGAGCAAGGAGGCTTCAGATGTGGGTAGGGGATGTTGTAGATCAAGTGTTACATTTAAGCATATATGTTGTAACTCAGTATTTAGATAAAGGTCAGGAGAAGTTGAATTTATTGCATTTAACGGATTTAGAAAAGGAATATGATAGAGTGATAGAGGAGCAATGTGGCAGATGTTGCCAAAGTATATGGAATAGGTGGTAAGTTACTAAATGCTGTAACAGAGTTTTTTATCAAGAGGATAGTGAGGTACAGCGTTAGGGCGTGTGTAGAACAGAGAGGGAGATACTTCCCAGAAAAGTAGGTCTTAGACAGGGATGTGTAATGTCACCATGGTTGTTTAATACTATTTATTGATGGGGTGTTAAGAAGTAAATGCTAGGTGTCGGGAGACGGGGTGGATTAAATTATGGGGAATCAAATTCAAAATGGGAAATTGACACAGTTACTTTTTTGCTGATGATACTGTGCTTATGGGAGATTCTGAAGAATAAAATGCCAAAGGTTTAGTGGATGAGTTTGAGAATGTGTGTAAAGGTCTAGAAAGTTGAAACGTGAACATAGAAAGAGTAAGGTGATGAAAGTATCAATGACATTTAGATAAATAAGAAAATCTGGGATATCAAATTGGGGAGGAGGAGTTATGGATGAAGTGAATGTTCTTCAGATACTTGGGACGTTGACCGTGTCGGTGGGGGCGATTTTTGAAGGATGAGGTTAATCATCCTAATTGATGGTGAGAGAGAAAAAAGAGTGAGTGGTGCGTTGAGCGTATATGTGGGTCAAAAAACGTCTAATCTATGGAGGACAAAGAAGTGGAATGTATGAAGTATAGTAGTACCCAACGCTCTTATATGGATGTGTGGAAGGCTTGGGTGGTAAATGCAGCAGCGAGGAGACGGTTGGAGGCAGTGATGTCGTCCTGTCTAAGGGTAATGTGTGGTGTAAATATTATGCAGAAAATTCGGAGTGTGGAAATTAGGAGAAGGTGTGGAGTTAATAAAAGTATTAGTCAGAGGGCAGAAGAGGGGTTGTTGAGGTGGTTTGGTCATTTAGAGAGAATGGATCAAAGTAGAATGACATGGAAAGCATATAAATCTATAGGGGAAGGAAGGAGGGGTAGGGTCGTCCTCGAAAGGGTTGGAAAGAGGGGGTAAAGGAGGTTTTGTGGGCGAGGGGCTTGGACTTCCAGCAAGCGTGCATGAGCGTGTTAGATAGGAGTGAATGGAGACGAATGGTACTTGGGACCTGACGATCTGTTGGAGTGTGAGCAGGGTAATATTTAGTAAAGGGATTCAGGGAAACCGGTTATTTTCATATAGTCGGACTTGAGTCCTGGAAATGGGAAGTACAATGCCTGCACTTTTAAAGGAGAGGTTTGGGATATTGGCAGTTTGGAGGGATATGTTGTGTATCTTTATACGTATATGCTTCTAAACTGTTGTATTCTGAGCACCTCTGCAAAAGCAGTGATAATGTGTGAGTGTGGTGAAAGTGTTGAATGATGATGAAAGTAATTTCTTTTTTGGGGATTTTCTTTCTTTTTTGGGTCACCCTGCCTCGGTGGGAGACGGCCGACATTTCCCACCAAAGCAGGGTGGTTCAAAAAAAAGAAGAAACACCCATCATCACTTACTCCATTACTGTCTTGCCAGAGGGGTGCCAATATTACAATTAAAACACTGCAACATATCTCCACCTGTGCTTACCACCTCCAGAACTCAAGTCTGGCTAACCAGTTTCCCCAAATCCTTTCATAAATGTTACCTTACTCACACTCCAACAGCATGTTGTCATAAAAACCATTTGCCTGCACTCGCTCCTATCTAACATGCTTTCACACACTTGCTGGAAGTTTAAGCCCCTCGCACAGAAAACCTGTGCCCCCTCCCTCCAATCGTTTCTAGGATGATGCCCTCCAAGTCATTTTTTCTTCCATCCTCTCTAAATGCCCAAACCACCTCAACACTCCCTCTTCAGCCTTCTGGATAATACTTTTTGTATCCCTGCACATTCTTCTAATCTCCAAGCTATAGATTCTCTGCACACATTGCCCTCTGCCACGACATCGCCACTGCCTCCAGTCTTCTCTTTGTTGCAACATTCATCACCCATGCTTCACACTTATATAAGAGTGCTGGTACCACTATACTCTCATGCAGTCCCTTCTTTGCTTCCATGGATAACATTCTTTATAGTACAATATTAAAGAATAATCAAATGTTGACAAATAAAGGATAGTCACCTAAAGTATTGGTGAAAGCAACCAATTAAAAATATTATTTTTATATTCTGGGGGCAAGTTCTAAACCCTTGTGGGGAGAAACAGGACCTAGGGAATAAAAGATAATCGGGTTTGATCGAAGAAAGAGGATAGCTCTAATTCCTTAGATCAAGAGCCCTTCAACAGCATCAAGGTATAAAGGGTAATTAAAAAGCAACTTAGAAAAATGACAAATGTTTTAGGAAGTTCTCACACATTGCCAACCTTAAGTGATGAAGGGGGAAATCTATAGGTTAAGAAACAATTAGTAGGTAAAATGGGTGGAAGTACTGCTGACCAGGGGGCAAACACCTAGGTCACAACCATAGCATGTACGTATATATATGAGCAAATGTACCTCATCCTCACTTTATAAAGGTAAAAATTATTGAACTCTTGTAACAGTACAAGTTACCAACCCTTGATTAATGACAGACGATCTTATTAAAGTGAACAGAAATATAAATTTTGTAGAACCCTGCTGTAGAAAGTTGAAGGCAGTGTTTATCTGTGAAAAGAAGGGTCAGGCTAATTGACTACATCCCAATTTAAATACAGTACAAGTCTTGCATTATTCAGAGCAGAAGTTCCCCTTTAAAGTGTCCGTTACCTAACAGCTCACCTGCTCCCCCTCCTCTCTATACAGTGAATGTAAATATTCCAGCATTCTGAGCATGAAGTACTTTACTATGTTAGCAAGTTATACAAGACTTTGTAGTTTAATTTACTTACTACAGGATTATGTACCCCAAAGCTGTTACTGCTGTTTATGCTCACCATCATATTCTTTTATTATTATATTTATGGGGGAAGCATTAAACTTGCAAAGGTCACACAGCACCTGGGTAGTGGAAAAGGTGAGATCTGATTCCTTGGATCAACAGCCCTTCACCAGCTTCAGGTCACTCCCACTGAAGGGAAAACTTGAGAGTAAACTTGAGTGTGGGTTCTCACCATGAATAACTGCAGCACTACAATACTTTCTTTATTCTTTAAGTCCATATGTAATAATGAGCTAAAATAAAGCAAAATACAATTTGTCAACAAGCACAAAGACTATGTTAGTTTAATTTTTTTTTTTTTTCAACAAGTCGGCCGTCTCCCACCGAGGCAGGGTGACCCAAAAAAGAAAGAAAATCCCCAAAAAGAAAATACTTTCATCATCATTCAACACTTTCACTACACTCACACATTATCACTGCTTTTGCAGAGGTGCTCAGAATACAACAGTTTAGAAGCATATACGTATAAAGATACACAACATATCCCTCCAAACTGCCAATATCCCAAACCCCTCCTTTAAAGTGCAGGCATTGTACTTCCCATTTCCAGGACTCGAGTCCGACTATATGAAAATAACCCGTTTCCCTGAATCCCTTCACTAAATATTACCCTGCTCACACTCCAACAGATCGTCAGGTCCCAAGTATCATTCGTCTCCATTCACTCCTATCTAACACGCTCATGCACGCTTGCTGGAAGTCCAAGCCCCTCGTCCACAAAACCTCCTTTACCTCCTCTTTCCAACCCTTTCGAGGACGACCCCTACCCCTCCTCTCCTTCCCTATAGATTTATATGCTTTCCATGTCATTCTACTGTGATCCTTCTCTCTAAATGACCAAACCACCTCAACAACCCCCTCTTCTGCCCTCTGACTAATGCTTTTATTAACTCCACACCTTCTCCTAATTTCCACACTCCGAATTTTCTGCATAATACATGTATTTACACCACACATTGCCCTTAGACAGGACATCTCCACTGCCTCCAACCGTCTCCTCGCTGCTGCATTTACCACCCAAGCTTCACATCCATATAAGAGTGTTAGTTTAATTATGAATAAAAATACAATGCATGGTTCAAGAATATGCATACAGTATTAAAGTACATAATTTTTACAAATATCAGGAACTGACTAAATAATTATCAGAAGATGCACTAAGGGTTACCCTAAGTAATCTATACACATGCTGCTATATATGATAATTTATCTAACTGTATTTATGTGTACATGTACCTGAATAAACTTACTAAGTCTCCCCAAAAATTCCACCACCCCTCTGAAAAGCCCTCCCAAATAAAAATAATAATAATAAACTGCTTCAAGACAAGTTCCCTAGCACCTTCTTCCAACCATGCAGCCATCCCTAAGCCAAAACTATATAAAACTTCTGCGACCTCTTCCGAGAATTATGTTCTTGCATCAATAATAAAATCTAAGTGATATGGTTAAATTCCAGCAAAGAACTTAACTCTATTAATTCTTAAACAGCATACAATTTTGATGTCTTCCCCTGGCATTGCAGTGTGGAAATTATTATCTATGTTAACATTTTGCATAAATTTAGTATATTTTGATCATAATATCAAATTAAAATAACCATATTATTAGTACATATTTCATATTAACCCTTAAACTGTCCAAACGTAGATCTATGTTTTTTTCAACATTTGAATGTAAAAAAAGTAGATTTTTTTTTTTACATTTGAAACATGTAAAATTTTTTTTTTTATTATTATAATTGTAAATATGTAAAAAAACGTAGATCTACTTTTGGAGCACTACGCATGTGAATGTAGATCTGCTTGGACAGTTTAAGGGTTAAAATAGCCATATTATCAGTATTAAATTAATGAGCCATATTAAGCTGCACACACTCATCCTAACCACTTAAGAAAATTTATGTAAATCAGATATGTACATTAATACAGAAGCCCATCAGTACTTCAACATGCACAGGAAAGATTCAACAAACATGCACAGGAAAAAGTTCTTATATTTAAAGTCTTACCTGTCATCTTCCATAATTTGTGTGTCCAACTCAAACTTGTACTGGAAGCCTGAGCAGCCTCCACCTTCCACGATTACCCTGAGGAAGGATTTATCATCATCAATGATCTCCTTCAGCCTGGCCACACATGAATCACTCAAGATTAGGCCCAGGTTGGGATTAGCGTTCTCCGCTGATGATGCTACTGGATGCGTTGTCGTTGAAGAATGTCTCAAAGTCAGAGTCCTCTGGTACAAGTGTGAGGCTGCAGACCACGACAATGCGTTCTGAAAGAGTACAGTAAATACTGAACTAAAAGTGGGAAAATATTTGTACAGTAAAACCCTCCATTTAACAGACTCTGGAAATACAGAAAAAAAAAGAAACTGTTGGGTCAAATAAATTTGGATACCATGGACAAAGTCCTTCTATCACAGAATTGTTCATTATTGTTACAATCACAGTAAAACACTCTTTTCTCTATCCATTATAACTGCCATTACTTGCCACCCAATTAGTATATTAAATAAAGAAGTTACTGTATTATTATACTTATGGGAAAAATTGAAACCCATAGTGATTATTCTTTGCCTGGGTATAGGAAAATATAAAGTTCATATCTTTGAATATAATAAATTAAGTTTTGTTGAAATGCTAAACAATATGGGATTTGTAAAAGATCATTACATACAATTTTACTGTGCTGCAAACTGATTTCTTAACTGACAATAATTTACTTTAAACTGTGATGCTCATCATTTCAGCCGATGACCACCAAGTCACCAGAAAAGTCAATGCTTGTCAGCACTGTTGCAGCACTTGCATGTAGTATTACAAAGTCAAATCTGCACAGCTTATCATGGCAGCAGGGTAATACCTGGCTAGTCCTACCTGAAACTGTCAATATGAACCACTATACAGGTGGGGTTAGAATCAATGGCCTGGAATTTTATGACTTACTTGCCATGGGTTCTAACCCCACCCCTACTTTGGTTTGTTTGCAATTGCATTATTATTTTGTAAGTCATTTACACAATTACTGTATTATTATTATTATTTTTTTTATTATTATTATTATCACACTGGCCGATTCCCACCAAGGCAGGGTGGCCCAAAAAAGAAAAACTTTCACCATCATTCACTCCATCACTGTCTTGCCAGAAGGGTACTTTACACTACAGTTTTTAAACTGCAACATTAACACCCCTCCTACAGTATTATACTAAGGACCCATGAGGATCATTCAGAGCAAGGAGTAGTAAAGGTTCATTCTTCTGTTTGCCAACCACAAGGCAGACAATACCCACCCCACAAAAATGCCATCAACATATACTCAGCCTGGCACTGTGCCACTTGCTACACAATAGCCCAAGGAAGTGGCTCGAAATCTCTCACATTCTGGCCTTTGGAGTCAAAAGACTGTCAGAGATTAGCTCTAGGCTTACTTCAACATACTTTCGCATGCAAGGGTCTTCTGGTGTCCCATGGTTCGGTTGGCAATGCACCCACGATCAATTCCCCATGAAAGCAAAAGACTCGACAGGCAGTGCAACATCTCCCCAATGAAAAGCAGGGGTGCCATAAGTACACTTAGAGACAACACAATAAGTATCAGGGGCTCAAGACTGTCAAACTGCCTCCAAACACACACAAGGAAGATTACCAATAGACCCCTGGCTTCATCAAGCAGCAGGACAGGCACCTAAAGTCAGTTCCTGACCAACCAGGCTGTGGTTTATATGTCGGTTTGCGTGTGGCCAGCAATAACAGCCTGGTTGATGATGCCCTGGTCCACTGCAAGCCTGATCATAGACTGGGCCACAGGGGGTGTTGACCCCTGAAACACTCTCCAGACATGTTTCCTTACACCTGCTGTCCCTGTTCACCTAGCAGTAAGTACGTACCTGGGTGTTAGCCAACTGTTGTGTGTTGCATTCTGGGGACAAGATGAAGAACCCCAATGGAAAATAAGACAGACAGTCCTAGATGATGCAGACTTTATTGGGTTATCCTGACCAGCTAACCCTTCAGGTTAATAATCCAAACAAATCTTATCTTAACCCTTTGACTGTCGAGACCCCAAATCCCAGTGTCACCGTGTCGCAAAATATTAAAAAAAAAAAAAAAAAATTCTTATAAAATGACAGATAATCTTTTCCCGATGGTAATGACACTAAGACTATCAAATTTGATGGAAAACTTAGGGAATTATGCTCTCACGAAGTTAGCGATCTCGGCAATATATATACACATTGGCAATTTCACCCACTTTGAGCCTTATTTTCAGCCAATTCCATTGTTCCAGTTGATCAAACTCATAGCTATTTCTTTAGAACTCCATTTGTTCTATCAATTGAGTACAAGAAACCACCCATTTACCGATTTCAACTACCCAATAAAGTGGTCAGAAATTGGCAATTTGGCCAATTTCATGCAAATTAAAAAAGATGCCAATTTCAAAACAGGGTCCACAATAAACAATGCAGACATTCCTGGCACTAAAATAACATTTCCTCTATTCATTAGTCAAGTCTCCAGGTCCCTCTTATATTACTCTTGCTTTCTATTTTGAATTTTTATTCACACAAAAATAGAAGATTTACTGTTATGCAGACTACTGCATTATTGTAATAATTTTGTAAATAATGTCAACCCATTCGTGACTGCATATTAGAATGGCTAGATGGACACTTATTGGATGGTGACATCATTTGTTTACTCTTGAACATCGGAAAAAATCAAACATTTCCACTACTTTGATCTCAATTTTGAGGTCCTTTTTATCAAGGAACCAATTAAAATCATCTCTACTTTTGTAATATGTCTTCCATTCTATTAAGCAAGACCAAGAAAACGAGAATACAACCATAAATACGGTGGACCCCGCATAACAATATTAATCCGTTCCTGAGAGCTCATTGTTATGCGAAATTATCATTATGCGAATGAATTTTCCCCATAAGAAATAATGGAAATCAAATTAATCTGTGCAAGACACCCAAAAGTATGAAAAAAAAAATTTTACCACATGAAATATACATTTTCCTACACACAAAGAGAAGGATACATGCACAATAGTAGAGTAGTACATACACAATATATATTGTGCATGTACTACTCTACTAAATGAAGAATAAATGACACTTAACTTTATTGAAGATGCAGCAATGACTGATGAGACACTGTGTCCTGGGAGTGCCTTTTCCTCCTGAGTACTGTAGGTCCTGTTTGGCATTTTCTTTCCAGAAAAAGGCCTTATCACACTGTATGCCACTACCCATTCTTAAATCTCTCAAACCAACCTTTGCTGGCTTTAAATTCACCAATATGAGCACTAGTTCCAGGCGTTTTTCCCTGTTTTACCTGGGGGTTAGTCGACTGGTGTGGGTTGCATCCTGGGAGACAAGATTAAGGACCCCAATGGAAATAAGTTAGACAGTCCTCGATGACACTGACTTTTTTTGGGTTATCCTGGGTGGCTAACCTCTGGGGTTAATTGTTTTTGGTATTCTCAATAAGCCCCCACCAACAACGGTGCTACAGCAGCAGCAGCCAGCAGCAGCTGACAGTGCTACAGCAGCAGCAGCATCAGCAGTTGACCATGGTCCCACAGTTTTGATAATATTTTCACCCTTTTTTACCAAGGGTTGGCACTAAAAATTTTTTGGGGGCCCATGGTCACTTTTTTTTGCAGAAAAAATCCCCAAAAACGCTGTAATAAAACAAAATTTCCCCGATTGTATGCTTGGATTTTCCCCGCGGGGCTGGTTTTAAAAACATGCCTGGGCGGAACATTGGGGCTGGCTCTACCCGCACATTAGACGCGTCTGGGACGAAAAATGTTGAGCGGGTTTTTTACGGTATCGAGGAAAAATTTAGCAAAAAAATTACGGTTGCGGATTTAACATTATTGATGCCAACGGTATGCGGGGGCCACGTACTTCACGAAAAAACATCTCAAAGCGCATTTTAACCCAAAAAACCAAATGTTTTTTTTTTTTCTCATTATGCACTGGGGCTGCAGGGTTTTTTTTATAGTGACACTGACCAACAGACCATTCTTCACTGTGGCCCCCCATTTCTCCCGCTTGTTTTAAAAGCCGCTAAAAATTTTTGGCGTTTTAATACGTCAAAAAAACTGGCTCCTAATAATATACGACCCCCGCAGTAAAGGGGGTTAAAGACAGCTGCTTCCACAAAGGAACTGGGAAAGAGGAATGGTGCCTTAAGAGGCGAATTAAAAAAAAAGAAAAAAGTGATCAAAGAAGATAAAAAAAAATGTTAAATAAATAAAATACTTTTTCTCCTCTTTTTGAACGATGTACCTTTAAAACGATATTCAGATTTACAAGAGCCTTTTCTGACCAGTTGTACCAAAGTAATGTTTTTTCAGGACTTCCTCTATTCTTTTATTACAATATACAGCATTACTGACAGTGGACCCCGGTTTTAACGTTTTTTAATCCGTGCAAGGGGGCTTCGTTATGCGAAATAATCGTTAGCGAAAAATTTTCCCCCATAAGAAAAAATGGAAATAAAATTAATCCGTGCAAGACGCCCAAAATATAAAAAAATTTTTTTTTACCACATGAAATTTTAATTTTTAATAACACAAACTAAAAAAGGCATGCAAATTAATGACACTTATTTTTATTGAAGATCTGGTGATGATTGAGGGGATGGGGGGAGGGGAGAAGGGTTAGTTTTTAGAAGGGGAATCCCCTTCCTGGGACTTGAGGTAGTAAGTCCTTTTCTGGGGTTACTTCCCTTCTTCTTTTAATCCCACTGGGGCCCAGTTAGAGTCACTGGACTTTTTTGCACAAGATTCTGTCCATAGTGGCCTGTACCTCTCGTTTTTATGATTGCCAAAAAGTGTTTCACAACATTGTCATGTAATAATCCCCCAGCACGGCTTGCAATAGCTGTTGAGGGTGATTTTCACCATAAAGGTTTGCACTTAAAGCCACTTAGCACAGATTTCCTTTATCTTTGTATAGGCAACTTCTTAATTTCTCCTCCCCTCCTTGAACCTTTTCCTCGGTCGGGGCCTCTTGCTCTTGAGTTGATTTATCAGCTCTCAGTGGTTTTTTCTTCATTGTCCTCCTCCACCAACTCTTCCCATCCTCCCCACAAACCCCAACCCCCAAGGACTTTCCCAATGCCACAATGGATTCCTCAACGGGCAGGATTCTCGGGGTTAGCCTCAAACTCAAAAACCCTTTTGTCTACACTTTGGCCCAGTTTTCTTCCAACAGAGTTCAAGGGCCCTTATCACTTCCTCCAGCCTTACCTATAAGGGGTTTTCACAATGAGGATATTTAAAAGGTCTCTCCAAAAATCTCTTAGAGTAGTTGAGTTTTTGAGGTCATTCAAAGCCCTTTCAAACAGGCTTTTTTGTACAGTTTCTTTTAATTTGGAAATAACCCGCTGGTCCATGGGCTAGGAGGGAGTGGTATTAGGGGGCAAAAACTTCACCTTTAAGAAGCCATGTCCCCCTAAAGTCGCTCTGCCACGTCTGTAGGAGACCAGGGGGGATTGTCTAAACCGGAGGCACTTAAATTCTAATTTCTTTCAGTAGGTAATTTTTCCCATTGGGGGAAATGCATGGTGTAAAGTTATAGAAAAATTTCCCCATGACCCATGCCTTACTGTTTTTCCCCCACACACACACAAATTATCCTTGAGGACTTCTTTTGCCTGAACGCTCTGGGGGTTTCGAGTGATACACAAAAAAAGGCTTCACTTTGCAATCACCATAGCATTACACATCAACAAAGTAACCTTTTTTCATAGGCTTATTCCCCGGGAGTGCTTTTCCTCCTGAGTAAATTTGGCCGCTTGGCATTTTCTTCCAGAACAGGCCTGTTTTTTTTCACAATTAAACACTTGTTCAGGTTTCATCCTTCAGTTTCTATGTACTCCTTGAATTTCCGCCATATTTTTTTAGCCGCTTTGTGGTCCGAACTGGCAGCCTACCATGCCTTACACACTATGGATGCCACTACGCTTCTTAAATCTCTCAAACCAACCTTTGGGTGGCCTTAAAAAATTTACTACATCATCACTAGTTTCAGGCATTTTTTTTAAAATTTAAACTCATGCAACTTCCTAGCCTTTTTTACATATGATCCTTTAAGATGCACTCCTCTATCTGTTTTTCATTTATCCACACCAATAAGGTCTCTTTAAACTTCATCACTTGCGATCTTTTGTTTCGAAAAACAGTTGAACCTTTTGGGAAGAACAGCTTCCTTGATTTTCTTCGGGCCCACAATAGTAGCGATGGGTTTATTGGGGTTTTTTTGTACAGCTTTTACTAGGCACTATACGCACTCCACTTTTACTTATCATTATCTCTTTCTTCATCCTAAAATATTTTTTTACCCTTTGAGGTGTGGGGGTTTGGCACTAAACTTTTTGGGGCCCTTTGGTCACTTTTTTCCGGGGGAAACGCACCGAAAAATCTTTTAATAATACGAAATATTCCGAGTTATGCTTTGGATGTTACGCGGAGGCTGGCTGGGAAACAATGGGGGCGGGGGCGGGGGACATGTGAGGCTGGGAGGGGAACTTGGACCGGTTCGGGCGAAAAATCGGGGTAACGGGTTTTTAATCGGGATGCGCGGCAAAAAAATTTTTCTAAAAGTAATCGTTATGCGGAAAAAACGCTATTGTGCCATCGTTTTTCGGGGGTCCCCTGTTTTTAAACATTTAAAAATATACCAAAATGTTATAAATTGGTGCAAAGGTGACACTAAAGCAATATCAAAGATGGATGACAAAAACCCCACTACCATTTAAACGATGAATTCGTTTACCGACGGGGTCTCAGGAATGAAACTCCGTCCCTAAGTGAGGTGAGGCTGTACTGTAAATCACTGCCCTGTTGTTTGTTCCCACATTCCCAGCTAATGTAACAAGCAGTGCAAACTTCCTTAAAACTGCCATGCCCCACTACCCTTACTCAGTGCAAAACACCAAAATAGATCATTCAAAATTTAGCAAAGGCTGAGCAAACCACCTATTTAGTCTGGTACCCGCAGAAGTTGCAAGTACAGTGCCTGCACTCTGAAGGAGGGGTGCAGACATGTTGCAATTTTTGAACTGTAGTATCAGCACACCTCTGGCAAGACAGTGATGGAGGGGAACTTATAATGAAAGTGTTTCTTCTTTTTTGGCTTGCCCACCCTTGGTGGGAAACAACCGATTTTGTAAAAAAAAAAAAAAAACAGCAGAGGCATAGCAACATTCTGCTAGCAATGAATGAGGGTGAACCGAAAGAACACTGGTACAGTATTTGTACACAATTCAATCATTACCACTGGATCCAAAAAAACTTTTAATAGTACTTGCGCAGTTAGGTCATAATGGCCACCAAAAGGTCCACTTACTGCCTCATTCTAGTCAGGTGTTAACTATACCCCTTCGGGAAATGCCTAAACAAGGTGGCGGAATTAATTTGTATCATTATTTTTAATAAGAATCAGGGTGAATCCGGGAAGTGTAACTAATTTTTTTGGATTAAGAGCTCTTCACCAGTAATAAGCAAACCATCCCCCCTCTTGAAGGGAGGTGGAGGATTTTGCAAAGGATGCATAAAAAATACATAAAAAACCCCACACAAGGATAGACTGGCTTAGATGACATTTCAATTGACTTGGCTCAAGTCGACTGAAAAGTCATCATAAGGGTTCTCTCACCTAAAATGCGGGTTATTTATGTATTTTCCAGTCATGGTATTGTGCCTTTTTGTTTCAATACAAGCATAATTTACCTGCCATTTAAGCCACTGGGGACAATTGGCTAGGAGCTTGCAAATTTTAATTTAACATTTTAAATATATGTAATAGAGATTATTTGGCAACCCAAAATACCTTATTTATTATAAAAAACCATCAGGAAGGCTCTTTGTTGGTGTACTTTACCAGCATTCAATACTGTCAAACTGTATTTCACAGAAATTCAAAATTCTTTATTTTCAAAATATTGATTATACACAAAAATAGTTTTCTTAAAGTCCACAGAGTGTATACTGTACACAGTTCAAGGTGTAAAGTGTTTAGTAAGTACAGTACTGTACCTAAGATACTATGAGGATAGGGTTGGTACAGTACAAGGTCTTGCCCTTTAGTGATGTATGTAGTCTTGTTTGAAATGAAGATCTAGCACCATCCCCCCCCCCCCCCCCCCCGAAAAAAAAAAAGAGCAGGCATACAAGTTCTTGCCTTGAATACTAGGCAAACAGAAATTTCTTGGAATGCTACACATAAAAAACCTTGCCAAAAATATAAGGCATACAGAATATATAAGTAGCCCAAACTCCAAATGCAGTACAATGTTCTCATGCAATGTGCCACTGACTGTAGACACCATTTTAATTGGTTTGTCTACGGCATTAGTCTTTTCATCCTTAGTCATAGCTTTATAATTACCAAGGTACCTGTGGGGATCTCAGGAACTTATAGAGAGTCTTTTGATGCTAATTGTTTAATGGGTTATTTAATTAATTGCTAGCTTTTTTAACTTGGTATGACAAATACTTATTTGGTGTTGTGTTATTCATTGCTTCTGTTTGCTAATTTTATCCATGTTTTATTGTGGCATGACCGTGTGGTCAAAGTACCATATAATAATAACTACAGTACCTAAGTACCAAATACAGTGGTCCCTTCACATTACTATGCATGATTTACTCTGCACTAATAAAACACCAATCATTCATTAAATTTGCAAATTACATCATAAACGTTAATTTATATGTTTTACAAACAGAATATTAGAACACTGGTCTAAAAGCTACTTGCTCCATTGAACGGCATGCAATAAACTCTGCATGTCTTCCTTCTACAAGATAAATACAAAAGAATGAAGGACCACTGCAATAGACCTTATTGGCTCAAGCTAGGCAGGTCAACACCCACCTACACCCACTCGTGTAACCTATCCAACCTATATTTAAATTACCGCAAAGTTTCTTGCCTGAAAGACACTTTGGGGATTTTGTCCCACTCATCAACAATCTTTTTGTTGATGTCCCTTGTGGCTCATTCATGCATGGCCTTGGCTTGTGTCATGCCGGTGTCTTGTGGCTCAGTAATGCGGTGTCCTGTGGGCTCATTCATGCAGTTGCCTGTGGCTGTGGTCATGCGGTGTCCTTTTGGCTTGTGGTCATGCGGTTCTTGTGCTCATCATGCAGTGTCCTGTGCTCAGTCATGCGGATATCCTATGGCTCGGTCATGCAGTGTCCTGCGCTGGTCATTGGTGTCCTGTGGCTCGGTCGGTGGTGTCCGTGACTCAGTCATGTGATGTCCTGTGGGGCTTGTTCATGCAGTGGCCTTGGCTTGTGGTCATGCGGTGTTCCTGTTGGCTCAGTACATGCAGTGTCCTGTGGCTCAGTCCCATGTGGTGTTCTGTGTCTCGGTCATGAGTGTCCTGTGGCCGGTCCGTGTGGTGTCCTGTGGCTTGGTCCATGTGTGCCCAGGTTGGCTCGTCATGTGGTATCCCGTGACTTGGTTCATAATGCTCTTTGCTCACATACTAAGTCTGCGGTTTGCTCCCCAGCCTTGAGTCTGGCCCATGGCCCAGGCTCTGAGAGAAGCCAAGACTCTCGAAACTCATCAGAGGCATATATCAAAGGTATGGGTGGAAATGGGCATGTTTCCTACATCTGCTGCTCTTGTTCACCTAGCAGTAAATAGGTATCTGGGTGTTAGTCGACTGGTGTGGGTCGCATCTTGGAAGAAGAGATTAAAGAAGCACAATTGAAATCAGATAGACAGTCCCCGATGACACTGACTTTATTGGGTTATCCTGGGTGGCTAACCATCTGGGTTAAAAATCCAAAGAAAATTTTATTTTACTGTCAAACCAGTGCTTACCTATATCCTTTTCAAATCTAAATTTTTCCAACTGGAGCCTACTGCTGCGAGTCCTGACTTGGTTAGATATTTTCAACACTATGTGGCTAATATCTGAAATAACTATTTGGGCAGGAAATAAATATTGCATGATTTTGGATATCTTACTGGTGTGATAGTCTCGGTAGTAAGTCGTGTAATGCCAATCACAGCAGCATAAACAAAGAAGCATCAGTATGTAAACAGACTGGTCATTTCCATATCACCTGCTGGTGGACTGTCAAGATTTGTTCAAAATTATTATTAGTCACTGTAAGCTAGTGTTAAAAAATACTTCATCTCCTTAACGTAATTGAGACAGCAATAACGCTAAGTTAAACAAACCAGCTGTCATCCAATTCTGACCCCAATTGAAATAGGTCACTGACTTTTTTGGGGTTATCCTAGGTAATTTACACATATGTCAGCCACAGCATCGTGTCTTCCTTTGCTGATGACACCCGAATCTGCATGACAGTGTCTTCCATTGCAGACACTGCAAGGCTCCAGGCGGACATCAACCGAATCTTTCAATGGGCTGAAGAAAACAATATGAAGTTCAACGATGAGAATTTTAATTACTCAGATATGGTAAACACGAGGAAATTAAATCTTCATCAGAGTACAAAACAAATTCTGGCCACAAAATAGAGCGAAACACCAACGTCAAAGACCTGGGAGTGATCATGTCGGAGGATCTCACCTTCAAGGACCATAACATTGTATCAATCGCATCTGCTAGAAAAATGACAGGATGGATAATGAGAACCTTCAAAACTAGGGAGGCCAAGCCCATGATGACACTCTTTCAGGTCACTTGTTCTATCTAGGCTGGAATATTGCCTGCACACTAACAGCACCTTTCAAGGCAGATGAAATTGTTGACCTAGAGAAAATATACAGAGAACCTTCACGGCGCGCATAACGGAGATAAAACACCTCAATTACTGGGAGCGCTTGAGGTTCCTGAACCTGTATTCCCTGGAATGCAGGCGGGAGAGATACATGATTATATACACCTGGAAAATCCTAGAGGGACTAGTACCGAACTTGCACACGAAAATCACTCACTACGAAAGCAAAAGACTTGGCAGACGATGCAACATCCCCCCAATGAAAAGCAGGGGTGTCACTAGCACGTTAAGAGGCCATACAATAAGTGTCAGGGGCCCGAGACTGTTCAACTGCCTCCCAGCATACATAAGGGGGATTACCAACAGACCCCTGGCAGTCTTCAAGCTGGCACTGGACAAGCACCTAAAGTCGGTTCCTGACCAGCCGGGCTGTGGCTCGTACGTTGGTTTGCGTGCAGCCAGCAGCAACAGCCTGGTTGATCAGGCTCTGATCCACCAGGAGGCCTGGTCACAGACCGGGCCGCAGGGGCGTTGACCCCCGGAACTCTCTCCAGGTAAACTCCAGGTAATGCTATGTATGATAATTGTATTTATGTGTACCTGTGCCTAAATGAACTTACTTTCAGCCTTCCTTCAACTCCCATATATAACTGGTAACATATCTTCTACCATTTCATTTGCACTGTGATCAAAGTAACTTTTTGTCTCTTCACCTCTAGTCAGACACTCCACAAAACTGAAGAGCACTAAATCAGTTTAAATAATACATAATTCTTCCGTAGTTGGCCTTTTTTGTTATTACCTACCTTTCTTATTGTACTTATGATTGCAGTTAACAGAACAAGAAATCCTATTAAAGTCTATATCTAGATCTTATGATTAGCTGCCCGAAATGCATTACTTAATGGACGTCTTATGTGCCTATTATTGTACTAAAACATTAAACTACATTATTTGTATGGCATAAAGAAATAAACATTATTATTATGAAGGTCATACAGCACCTGGGAAAATGTGTAGCAATCAGGGTAAGTTTATTCAGGTACAGGCACACATAAGTACATTTATACAAATTTAGGCAATTAAAATTATCATACCCAGGATAACCCAAAATTCAGACATATATCCACAATAGTACTTGTGATATTTTAACATTTAAAGCTTAGCTATAAGATAAAGCAGAAATCAATGACTATAATCTTAAAAATCAAAACTAAGTAAATCAACTGAATGAAAATCATTACAGCAAAAAGAGGCACAAAGGAATAAGTAATTAAGTAAGTTTATTCATGTATGGGTACACATATATAGTTACACATATTATCATACATAGCAGGGGCTCTGGTGGCCTGGTGGTTAAAGCTCTCGCTTCACACGGCGAGGGTCTGGGTTCGATTCCCAGCCAGAGTAGAAACACTGGACGTGTTTCTTTCCACCTGTTGTCTATGTTCCCCATCAGTAAAATGGGTACCTGGGTGTTAGTCGACTGGTGTGGGTCGCATCCTGAGACACTGACCTAATTTGCCCGAAATGCGGAGCATAACAAGGGACTTTCTACATAGTAGTATGTCATTGTTGTCAGCTAGGACTGTATACAGTAGTATGTCATTGTTGTCAGCTAGGACTGTATACAGTAGTATGTCATTGTTGTCAGCTAGGACTGTATACAGTAGTATGTCATTGTTGTCAGCTAGGACTGTATACAGTAGTATGTCATTGTTGTCAGCTAGGACTGTATACAGTAGTATGTCATTGTTGTCAGCTAGGACTGTATACCTTGTACATGTACTTGTAGTAAATAAAGATATTATTATTATTATTATTATTATTATAAGTAAGTAAGTAAGTAAGTTTATTCAGGTATACACAAATACAGTTACATAGAATTATCATACATAGCAGCATATGTGTAGAGAACCTAGGATAACCCAAAAAAGTCAGACACAGTGACTTATTTCCATTGGGGTCCTTTACATTACCTAGGATGACCCAAAAAAGTCAAAGTTACAAAGTCAGACAAAGTTCACTTATAAAGTGAACAGAGTTATTTACAAGACCGTTAAATAGAGAAACAATTATTATTATTACAATCAACAATAAGCGCTAAACCCACAAGGGTCCTACAGCATTAAACAGAGAAAATCAGCTTAACAGTAACAAGTACACCAATGTTAACTATACAAAAAATTACTATCTCTTTTGTAGCTTAATTCATTAGGAATCAAAGGGGAGAGCAGGTCTAATTCCTTGGATCAAGAGCCCTTCACGGGCATCAAGGAACGTACCTTCAGGGGGGGGGGAACACCAATGGTGGAAAGTAAGGTTAAGTCAGGTTAGGCCATTTCTGGGTTTTAATTTCCTTAAATTAGATTCTCCTAAAATTTCCATGAAATAAAACTGTCCATAGCATAACCAACATAATATATTAGTAAGTTTTTTTTAGGCGCAGGTACACATAAGTGTAATTATCAGTGTAAATTACCTAGGATAACCTGCCCCCCTAAAAAAAAAAAGTGACATATCAATTGTAAATAATTTATAAAGTGATCAACTGACACTAAAGCCTAAACTAAATATTTAACAAACCTTGGCATTTAAAGCCGGTGCACTGCCATGCATTAGTCACTTTACTGTTACAATAATAAAACTCCATTTCCTGTTATCTTTATGATTCATTGTGAGAGCAAGAAGTGAATCAGCTGACCCAGACACATCCTTTTTTAGGCTCTACTGCCAGTAATACCACGAATACCATCAATAGGCCTACAGTGAGGTAGTATAACTTAAGTATTTCTCACCTGGCACTGGCCCTGGCAGCAGCAGTGCCACACAGCAGCAGCAGGACTCCTGCACACCTCCTGGATGCCATCTTCTCCACAGCTACGTGAAGGCCAGCTGGTCTACCATAACTTTCCCTTATTTAACGTTCATTTCTTCATATTTCGTCCACATTGGGCGTCTCAGAGTTCCCTCAGGACTGCAACATAATGCAACTTGTTGTTGTTGAAGGTTATTGCAGCCTGCGGGTGTTGTATCCACAAGAGAGGAAGTAGGCCTAGAGGCCTAGGTGAGGTAGGGGAAGGAGGCTGAGAGGTTCAGGTTGAGGTTGAACATCATGTGTTGAGGTGGTGGCTGTGTGTGAGGGCGTGCAGCAGCAGCAGCAGCAGCAGCAGTGTTGCAGGGACCGTCCTGAGGATCGATCCTGCAGCAGACGACGCACCCCCGCCTCACCCGCCAACTTTAAATATTTCTCAATCATCTTCCTCGGGAAACTTTCTCGATAACCTTCTTCACTGACCTTCCTGGATGACCTTCTTGAATAATCTTCCTCAGTGACCTTCCTGGATAACCTTCCTCACTGATCTTCCTGGGTAACCTTCTTCAGTGACCTTCCTG